ACAGCCTATATCTACAGTGAGCCAAGTTTCTGTGATAACAATTATACCGGAACTTCATTCATCCACTATCAAACTTAGCTCGGAGGTTTTGTAACAGCTCAGGTTGGTTGGTTAAGAGCTGACCCCAAACAACCAAGCTTATGCCAAAACAGTATTGTTCAAGTATTCATTCACTTCCTTATTTTTTATAAGCGTTATATTCCCTATTATCTTGAATGTTGAGAGCCTTTGTTTGTCTGAAAAGATAATCCCACGCTCCACTGTGACTGCGCGAAGATCGAAATAAAGACCTATTCACTACTTCTCTGGTTTCTTCTATCAATAGCACGAGGGTTACCTTAAGGCACGAAAGTTTTATTTCAAGGACTGCGGGCGTTCGTGTAGCACACATTTAAGGTGTTTAGGAATCATTCTTTTTACCCATACAGGTCTCGGAAGCATTGTCTTTCAAGGCCTGACTTCCCGAAAACCCTTAATCGTAGGGTTCATTTCTCCATTTAGCTTTGACGGGCTAATCTCCAACACAAAATGTAAGTTCACCAAGGACTTTTCGCCTAAACAAGCGCTATTTTTAACAATGTTTCCTTGTCTTCTTCCACTTCTCATCAGTTGCAGCGTCCACATTGGAACTACTTGAGACGATAATGGTTTTGTCTGGGTCGTCAGTCGCTGCTGTAGCAATTCGGCCACCAGTATCTAATGGTGTATCGCTCATTAACTGTTTCGGGATGGAAACCCTATTGCGTGTTACGCAATCGGTCCGGCACGTGCCGTAACAGCACTTACGACACTGACGCATTCTTTGCTATCAGTACCCATGTTACCGATACAGCCCTCATCAATCATTTTGTTAGCCAACGCCAGAAGTTAATTACCTTTTGTATGAGTAATGTTTTGCTCGAACAACAAAACCAATGGGAGTTAGGCTTTGAGCACCGTTTATAGGCAGTGGGATTTAAACTGGTACACACTTATGGAACCCCTTCTTACACATCACATTGCATTCTTTCTTCCACATGAAATTAGCACTATGGCTGTCCACATCTATGAGCAGAGCCAGCCGTCTTAAAAGTTAACTAAAAATAGTAACAGAAAAATGGATATATAAAAATAAAATCTCACACCTTAACCGAATAAATCAAGTCAAAGTTCATCAGGTATGCTATGATACAATAAATGCGCATAAGCAAAGTCAAAACACACAGGAACAATATCACTTTCACTGAAATATATTCAATTAAAGCATGAACAGTAGTTTTGATGCGTAATTTACAATCAAAACTGTAGATTTGACTCAACGAGGAATAATACCACTGTCATTTTTAAATTCTCTTATTTTCCCTCATTCCCTTTTAAAAAGCTGACTCAATATTCTTCTAAAATGCACAGAACCGGGTTTTTTTTAATTTGGTAAATATTATGCCAACATTAATGAAACTTTTGTTTTATTGCATTTCTAAATAGACGAAAAATGGTTTCTACATAATACTTATGTATCCACAAGCTGTTTGTGAATAATAATACATTGATTGTGAGAATATCCAAAATCTGATACGATAACATCAGAAATGTGACTGGAGTCCGACTCATTCGGAACATATTTGTCACATTCATTAGAAATATCATCATAGATAAGTCTATTGTGAGGACAAATAACATCTGATGAGACACCATCAGAACTATAATCACAGTTTAACTTATTTAGAAATTGTCCCTCATATTTAACCAATATTTTATTTGGAAAAACCACATCATATAAAGTAACATCAGAGTTCTGATCAGGATTAGGTGCACTAGATACACCTACCACATATTTGGAAATAATTTCATTAGAAATAGATGAATCATGAGAACAACGTATACATGGTAAAATAACACAATGAATCTGACCAGAATATGATAATTTTGAAACATTCAACTCAATAGGGTCGAAATTACAAAGTTTAGGATTATCTGCAACTAAATGAATATTAGTAATACAAACTGCTTGTATGTATCCAATTTTACCACATTTAGAGCATTTATCATTACGAAATACACAGGAACTACATGGATAAAATTTTCCACAGGACAAATATCTACCAAACTTGTGCATATCTTCGCAACTCCTTAATAAGATTTTACCAGCATAAACTTGAATACACATTAGATTGGAATGATGTAGTATTGTAGTGAAATTCTTGATGTTCTGACGAAACATTTTATGAAATTTTCATCCTTCACATCATTCAAAATTTGTACACTTTACATGGTTTGAAAGTAGTCCCTTGAGAGTTACATAAGGAAGTGTGTAAAATCTTTTATCAACTTGTTCATTTACTGTAATTTAGATTTGATTAATTGAACAATTATTGGTTGAGTAACTCAGTGGTAATATTTGTTTAGGTAATGATGTACATTTCTACTTATGACGAAATCTAGAGCCGTCATTTACCCAATCACCTTGTTTTGGTTTCAACTGAGCAATAGAGCGTATTTAAACTACCTAGACAGTTATTTTCCAGTCTAAACCTTATTTTAGATTCTACACACCCCACGTGGATACTTTGACAAACTGTTTACAAACATATTTTTAATTGTTTCTCACCAACTGCATACGTTTAAAATCATCGGAGGTGATTTTAATCTGCCGGACATTAAATGGAATTCGACCTAGGTACTGGGTACGATATATCAAGTTAGTTGAAATGGTAGTTCTTTGTGGATGAGTCCAACACGTTCGAAAGCCGACTATAAGGAATAATATACTTGATCAAATGTTCGCAATCAATATCAACCCTACCTCAGTGCACGTCATTGATGGATTTTTTGTGAGTGATCACAGAGTCGTAGTGAGTGATATTCATTCTCCAAACACTATATCATTGAACTCTAAAGCTCCAACAATGTGCCAAGGCAGGCAGTTGTCGACCATGTGGTTTATAATCCTAACAGAGGCCAACATACTTTTAAGAGAAAGCTGAGGAAACTGAAGCAGAGCTAGTACATGCACAATTACGTGTATGGGCTACAAATTATGCTTAACTTGACTGGCAGAGATGATTCATCTCAATGCAAGTATCTTATATCTATGTACGATAAAGCCTTAGAGCTATCAGTACTTCGACTTTTCAAATCCCACGTGAAATCGAATTCCTTTGTCGCGACCAGATTCTTCATAGTTAACGGCAGAGTTGTTGACGACCCTGAGATACTATTTGTGAATAATTCAGCCGCCGTTTCTCGCAATGCTACAGCACAAAACTCTTATCAGTACGCCTCCAACGATGACATCTAAGCGTCCATATACTGTTGATTCCATATTCACCAACATCAAAATGCCATAACAGCCCTAAAAATATCCTATGACGGTGAACCTGATGGGGTCCCTGCATAATCCGTGAAATACGGTAGTACAGATTTTCTATTATTTTGTTTAGAACTGTCCAATCTATGGACGATGAAGTCTATCCGTTTGTATGGAAAACACAGCTTATCATCCCCAGATTCAAAACAGGACCACCTAGAAATATTGCAAACTATAGGGTCATTATCTTGAAATCTGTGCTGTCAAGAATCATCCACAAATAGCTGTTACCATTTTCACTTTCTGCAAGCCTAATTAGCCCACCTTGGCACGAGTCCATAACTATACGATCATGCTTCACACAGCACTTGACTTTTGACCAAATTACTCAGCAAAGTGGGGTTGGTCAGTCAGTGATAATTCTATACATCGGTTTTAATAAGATCTTCAATGGCATCACATAACCTGCTAAAGCTCTCTATATTTGACACACGAGACCCCTCTTACTATTGGTTCAAGTCACTTAGAGCTGAATGTAGCTAAATCATTCGCTCCGGATCTCACTACCATAAGCCTATGGATATACTGGTCCTACAGTAGGCAAAAATGATAGGTGCTTGGACGACGATTTTTGGTGACGAAATTCGAAGACTACGACCAAGTACTCGTCGCCCAATACTCACGACAGCCGCTACATCAGAAGACACTACCGTATTTTAGAGAGGAAACTTGGGAAGCAAGTGAAACTATGTTTCATTGTTTAACAAAAATATCCACTGCACAGCCGCAACAAGCCCATTCGGCCTCTTAAAGTTTTTAGCTGTACGGTTCAGTCTGAGAAGTAAAGCTAATCTTTCAACACGTTTGCCACACAAATCTTTCTTTTGTGATAGTTAAGACCATAGACCGAAACTCATAATTAGCTTGTTTCTGGGGCTCTACTGAAGACAAATTACTACATGAGTGCTGAGTGGTTGCTAACCATTCGGCATATCAACGGGATATACTGACAACGAAGACTGTCATGACTGATCAGAAGATTATGAGGATTGTTCCTAAGTACAAAATAGTAAAGGCAAATCAAACCACATACAAAATGTGATGTATCAAGATATTTTGTAGCTGGTTACTTCTTTTAACGAAATTCCCAACTTCTTGGTCAGAAAATCGAGACTAAAGACACTTAAATTCGGATTGTCAACATATGTTCGTCCACGAATAGGCTAGATTTTGCCAAGTCTTGGAGAGAACTACAGTGGCTAGCGTCATTCATCTGTCAGTTATTGGAAGACCGACCTGTCTGTTATGTCAGATGTCCTTATCAAAGTGCTTATGGGTACGTTTTAGCCGGTGGTTTATTATCGAATTTCAGGAAACATAGCTATCGTCCAGCGACTGTCACAAAATTGGATTTCATGAAACAAAGAGCACAGTACGTTACGAAAGCGACCAACAAAAATTCGTTGGTCCCTAAAGCTGACACTGATTTACTCAAAAGGAATAATAAACTGAGTTTACGAGAGGTAGAATTTATAAGAAATAGATATTCAGGACAAAAGATAAACTAGAGAATAAAACCTGTAATTACACACAATTTCCAAAACAGAAAAGTAAACGTGAATTATACATGGTATATATACAGTACAGGTACGACTATTACTATTATTCAAGCGTAGCCATTAGGCTATCCGCTTTTGACTTAGCTTGCGCATACTCGTCAGATTCAATATTATACAGGGGATTTCGACATTCATCTAAAATTACTTCTTCTTCACCAACAGGTCCTAAGTCAGTAATAAACTGAAATTCATCGATTGTTTGACGGATAAAATCTAAACGACTAGACAGTTCCTGCCAACGAGTTTCAGGGTCAGATTTGGTATCCTTCTTGGGTTTTATGTCTCCTTCGTCACCATCATCCTCTTCAGAATGCTGTTTAAACTTTTGTACTGGGTCACAACCACATAGTTCATCTCTGACGAAAACTTCTACATCCAACTGAGGCCGAGTATGTCCAAGTTCCACTAGGACAGCAAGAGCGAACTGACTTGGATGAGCTGTGAGGCACAAGTCAGTTTGATACCATAAATTTATTAAATTTACACCGTCCTTACATAACTCATCAACGAGCTGAGCATCGGATCGATTCTCTAAAAGATAGGAATCAGAACGTGCACCACAAATTCGTCTCTAAATAGATAAAAGGAGAAAATTGGCCAGTCAAAATGATGACCTAGCAACCTGCATATCTGAATAGATAGCTTACATATATCAACAAAAAGTAGCCAGAAATGAATAACAAAAAACAGTTAACATGAAATGAAAGAAAAACTAAGGTAATTTTGTTTACTCAACTTTTAACCAAACGGAGAACAAGTTTTTGAAGTATTACAACCTCCTGCATCAGTAAGCACTACACATAGAGGCAGAGGGTAAGTTGGTTTATGTAAGACGTATCCTGGACACAATAGTCGATGGAGATTTACCAGTTCATTTTACGAACTACTATTTTGTTTAGTTCCATGTACCTTACCTTAGCACTGGTTACACACTCAGTCGTTGATACGCGGGCAGTGCTTCACAGAAAGCTATGATATAAGCCACTCAACTTCTGCATATTTTTTACTATCATACATGCAATGTTTCATAGCCAGAGTAATGCAGGGAGAACTATTATTTCATTCTCATAGTTCCCTATATCAATTCGAAAAGAGCAAGAACAAAGATTCTAACAGAATAGCATGAATTCATTTTATTTCATTTAGTTCTCGTCGACTGCTTACAACCTGTGATATTTATAAATCATAGTTACATAATGGGTTTAAATTAATTACATGAAAGGGTTTGGTTGGAAGTGATATTGAAGACACATTAGTATAGTATAGCAAGGGTGAAAATAAATTTAATCGACTGAATATTGTAAATATATACCTTATGTGATGAAAGAACATTCTACAACATTGATTGTGACAACAGTTCAAACGGCTAGAAACAAGTGATTATATAATGAATAAATATTGATAGATGGTGGTTGGAGGTAGTCGACAGGAAACCCTGGACCTGGGTTTCGTGCTACTTGGCACTCTTCAGCAAGGTTTACCTGTAATCTTGAGGGGACTGGTGCTCTCTGGCGGATTCGATATCGTGTCACCTAGCTTCACAGTCGATAGCATTCGATCTGCTCTAATACGGACTAGACACGCACGACATTGATCGCCACCCACTGATCAATCAATTGTGAAATACTGGTAGGAATATAGTGAGTAGAGCTCAGTTAATAAAACATGGTTACTAATCTGGAAGATAGTTGAAATAAAACGCAATGATGTAATAAATACAAGAAAGAGTTTAAAGAAGAAGATGCAACGAAGGAATGTTTGTCACCAAGGAAAGGAAAGGCAAGATTAATAACCATCTCATTTTGAACATACAAGTCACGATTTTGACGCCTGATAGCAACGACTTGAGCAAACTTCAGAAGACTGGAGGTTAGTTGTTTACTAATCACCTTAAAATATTGCAAAGTATCGACGTTATGCCTTGTACCAAGAAGATGTTTGGTAATCGCACTGTTTAGAATCTTTCACTTGTTCTGAGGCTTTCTGGAGCATGTTCAACAAATATAAGATATGCCGTCCTTTCTGTTTGGCCAATGTAGCTGCTTTAGCAGGTAAACGTAAATTTATAAATCCAGTTGGTGGTAACACTAAAGGGGTGCTTGTCAACCATTGATTGAGTTATTTAACATGCTGGTTTATACAGAATTAATAGCTTGGCTGCCGGAACATGTGCCGGAAAGCCTCAGGACAAGTGAAAGAAAGACTCTAAACAGTGCAATTACCAAACATCTCCTTGACATAGGGCATAAGGTCGATACATTGCAATATTTTAAGGTGATTAGTAAACAACTAACCTCCAGTCTTCTGAAGTTTGCTCAAGTCGTTGCTATCAGGCGTCAAAATCGTGACTTGTATGTTCAAAATGAGATGGTTATTAATCTTGCCTTTCCTTTCCTTGGTGACAAACATTCCTTCGTTGCATCTTCTTCTTTAAACTCTTTCTTGTATTTATTACATCATTGCGTTTTATTTCAACTATCTTCCAGATTAGTAACCATGTTTTATTAACTGAGCTCTATTCATTTTATTCCTATCAGCGTTTACAAAATACATTTGACTGACATACCAAAACAAACCCTTTCTACCACTAACACCAAGTTATCAAGACTTATTCCCACTAACCCTCCGACCACCCGAATATAAGTGCTCCCGAGGGGTTTGAAAATAAGGCAAAACTGCTATCGAATGCCCATTAGCTTTCAATAATTCTTTATTGGATCAGGATGGAAACTACTCTATAACCGTAGGAAATCACTTGATAAGACATTAAAGCGATTAAATATATAAAATAATAAAAATTTCCCACCTGATATGCTACTAAGTCGATAACAAATCCAGTTAACGCTTGATACGGTGTATACACCCACAGATCATAACCCAGTGATTCCATCAAAAAAAGTTCAGAATTGAGAACCAGATAACTATATCGCTCTTGATTTCTAGGGATATGCGAAATGAAAGTCTGAAGACCAATTGGGAAATCTGCAGCTTTACAAGCAACGTACAAGCATGTTAACATTATATCACGTGGATAAAAGTCCATTACAGAATGATTAAGATAAAAACGTTTAAAATAGGTTGCAGCAAAACCATATACCTGAAATAACGAAAAAAATGATGAAAGCTATTAACTAATTCGATTAAAGAACTATCAGCTGTATGTATATTAGTTAAGGTCAAAATTATAATGCTCAATAATCAAGAAGTCTATGAATGTGATGTTCTAGTCACATACATACTGTGTTCAAGTTATTGATAATACTCAACTACTCAAACCGAAGTGAAGAGAGGTTCAAATATGTAACCGAATGACTGAAATCCGACCTGCATAAATGTACGAACGTTGAAGGCAGCCAGTTTGAATGGTGCACGTGGTTTCAGAAAATCTGCTTCAGTCCTCGTATTCGGTGGTAACATACAATTTTCAACCGGACAGTGACTCGAGAACGTTTAGATACAGTCGAATTTCCACCATAGACGAGCTGCTGTATAAGTCGAACAAAAAATAAGTATAGACAGAATAGGAATACAGGTGTTTTTATACAGGGCTTTTAGGATGTTAATAAACTTCTCAGGCACACCCTTCTTCAATAGACAATCCCAGAGAACAGTCCTATCCAACGAATCGAAGGCAGCCCTGATGTCAAGAAACACTACGATTGTTGGCCTTTGAAAAGTATGGCGGTGTTCTAACATTTGGCGGAGGGTGAAGATATGATCAATACATCCTCGACCGGAACGAAACCCAGCCTGCTCCTCGCGAGTCAATCTTTCTCGGGTTTTGAACAACCTACGAAGAATGACGGAAGCCAATAGCTTGGACGCAATCGGAAGTAAACTTATCCCCCGATAGTTGTTACAAGAACGACGTGAAACCTTTTTAAAGATAGGGACAACTATCGACTCAATCTATGACGTTGGTACACTCTCTAGTTCTCAAACCTTTGTAATCAACGTCGTCAATTCCTTAGTCAAAAAGTCACCACCATCTTTAAAAAGAGCCGGAGGTAAGTCATCTGGGCCAAGTGATTTGTAACGCTTCAAGAGTTGGAGTTCCTTGCGGACTTCCTCCTCATTTGGTGGATCAGTCGTCACCGGCCATGGAGGGCAGGACAGTCTGACCGATGTTGCCGGAGCAGCAGGCCAGTTGAACTGCCCTTCGAAAAATTCTGCCCATCGTCCAAGACGTCGATGGATGTTAGTGATTGGCATCCCATCATCCTCGCAGATTGTTTCACTCACAACAGACTTCTTGCTGCCAGTGGCTCGGATGAGCTGGAAGAGCTTCCGGTAGTTACCAGATGCAGCTGCTGCTTCCAGCTCATTAGCACGCTCCGACCACCAGGCTTCTCGGTCCTTACGCAAGCTTTGCCCGATTTCCTTACGTAACATCCTTCGTTTATGGTCAAACTCACGGTCACCCGGAGTAGACCGACGGGCTTCCATGAGTTGTAAGGAACCAGAAGAAACCCAGTGCTTAAAAGCGGGACGTTTCGCAAACCCACAACTGACTGTTCCCGCCATTTTCATGGCGTCATGCAATTGCAACCAATGCTCATCCATACTTTTCGGTGGAGTGGTAGCTTAGCCTAGAGGCTAGCTCGGTTCGATACTTACTTGCAACAGAAGTTGCAACCAGCTTGCTAACATCAATCCGTTGATGGCGTTCACTTCGTTGTCCACTGAAAAGTAAGGCAAGATTGGCGCAGACCAAGGCATGATCAGAGTCCAGATAGGTACTCCAAAAGGAGCGGCAGTCTTGTACACAACCACGCCAGCGGTAGCTGATCGCGATGTGATCAATCTGAGTCCAGGCTTGAGATGCAGAACGGGGACGCCAGGTGGCACATCGGCGATGACTGTGCCGAAGGTTAGTGCTAGCCAGAAACAGGTTGTGGTCTATGCAAAGTTGCAGTAGACGGCCCCCGTTATCTGTCCTGCGACTAACAAGTCCCCATCGGCCACCTAAACGACTCTCTTCTGTGCCTAGTCGCCCGACCTGAGCATTCAAGTCTCCGGCTAGTACTACAATATCTGTCGAACGCACTTTCTGGAGAAGAACAGATAACTGGTGGTAAAACTCATCCTTGATTGCATCCGGGCTGCAATCTGTCGGAGCATAGGCGAAGATGACGAAGAGACATCGTTTCTCACGCCGATTTCTTCTCATTTTGATGGAACTCTCTAATGTAACAGCACATAACCGACTGTTAATGGGGATCCAATCGACTAGTGCTGCCTCAGCTCTAGCGCTTAGTGCGACACCAACGCCAGCAAGACCAGACGAAGATGCCACAGGGTCTCTGGATAAGCGCACATAAAACAAGCTTTTTGAAGCGACGGATGCAGATCGAATTTGTAGTACTTCGCCAGAGTCTTGAATACGGGTCTCGGATAGACAACAAACATCAATATTAAGACTTTCCAAAGACATAGCCAGCCCTATCTGTTGTCCGACCTGCATAAATGTACGAACGTTGAAGGCAGCCAGTTTGAATGGTGCACGTGGTTTCAGAAAATCTGCTTCAGTCCTCGTATTCGGTGGTAACATACAATTTTCAACCGGACAGTGACTCGAGAACGTTTAGATACAGCCGGATTTCCACCAAAGACGAGCCGCTGTATAAGTATAAAAGAGGGTGAATAATGTGGAAAATAATAATAATAATGATAATAATAACAATAATGACAATAATAGTAGTAATAATAATATTAGTATTAATAATGACAATAATTGTATTGATAATAATCTGAATCAATTGTTTGTTTTTCAAAGCGAGAAAGGTAATTTCCACAGGCATAAAGAGTTCATCAATTTGTGTGTGGGCTGTGATACTGCCCGGGTGCCCAAACCGAAGCAGGTGGTTATCTTAGGGGGCCACTCCCCGAGCCTTTGACCTAAAGGTCTAACCCACAAGTCAGTGGAGCATCGTAAGGAGATGCAGTCCCATGGTAGCCGGTGACCAACGATTGGTTCATACGCCATTCGTTCCCGCAGGATACTGGAGCCCATGTGCACCATTGATTTGGAACCTTCTTATACTTTCTTCATAAAACGTGGTTGTATCTTCCTTAACTGAAAGATTTCTTCTGATTGTACCCTTCTGTTCCCCTACTATTACTATTATTATTACACTACCTTACACCAATCTCTTCGTTATTGTTTTTTTTATATTTTTTTACGTTCCCCACTTTTTTCTTCTTAAATTCTCATTGTTTTGTGTGGCGCATATATATTTGGCGCACTCCTGTATCAATATATATGTGTTCAAATAAATAAATAAATAAATAAATTTAGGAGTAAGAGAATCATCAACTTTCTGTCTTGATGAAAACATCGAAAGTATGTGGTCTTCCACAATTTCTGACAGCTAATAAATTGAATTTGAGAGAAATGATTTTCGCAAAATACATGACGACGGTGAGGTAGCTGTAAAATCTGACTTTTGACGACTTCCAAGAGTATTTCAAACAACAGAAATGGAGACAGGACAGTTATATAGTTATAATAGGCAGTAAAATTGACGTGTGCTGAACTATAGAACGAAGTTTCAGCAACCACAGTTCAAACATTTACTGGACAGATTATGCATCTGAACGTTACTTTTTGCAGAAAATCTCACCAGTTAGACAAAATTGGAACAAGTTATATCGTTAGTGCGAGGGATTTGAGTTACTTCATCGTTGAAATTAGTGAGTAGACATTTGTCAATCATTATTGGCATGTGTCTGTTCTGTGCAGGTAACATCTATATAACCATTTTCAAAAGTTATTTAAAACAAATGGATTGTAGAATATAGAACGCATGTTACATCCTATTTGAGACTCGTTAGATGGATGTATTTGCATTACAATACTCATGTATACTCACAGTTGGACTAGAACATACACCTGATTTAAACATTTTGTTACCCACAGAGTTACTGAGTTCGGATCACTCAGTCAGTCAGTTAAACGTAAAGTAGAACCTGATACGTATGTAGATCGGTTCAATTTGCCACACCCCATTAGCACAGAAACATGAAATTGTTAGGACAAATCCAACGGCCTAAATTAACAGCCAATGATTTTATCAACTGATATCTACTCATGTTATGGTCATCGCTAACGTTTAAACAATTTACTTTATACAAACCAGTAAAGCAGATCAGGGTAGGCAGTGGCTGAAAATGACTAGTGCACGTTTCAACTACTTTAGTCGATATAAGTTCACAACCCAATTAACAAATTTACCAAGTTTACTGACCTTTCACTGATGAAGACAGATAGATTTGAATGGGTTCATGTATGGCTACTTTTACTAATTAACAATTTTCATTCCCTAGTACTGAACGAACAAATAGAAAGTTTACACCTTATGAAATGTATAGTTCAGATAAATAATGATAACCAATACTCATACAATATTATTTATCAGTCTAAATGTAAACGAAGAATACTAACTTATCAAAAATGAAACATATTTAGTTACTTGATCGAGTACAAACAGAATGATATGAAGTTATCTACACTCTTATGACAATAACAATGCTTGCTTACTTACACCTGTTACTCCTCATGGAGGAGCATAGGCCACCCACAAACACTTTCCATCCAACCCTGTCCTGGGCAATTCTTTCTATCTCTTTCCAGTTGTTACTCATCCTTTTCATATCTGCTCTTATTTCCCGACGTAATGTGTTCTTTGACCTCCCTCTTCTCCACTTCCCTTCAGGATTCCAAGTCAGGGCTTGCCTCGCGACGCAGTTTGATGATTTCCGTGATATATATCCTATTCATTTCCATCGTCTTTCCCTAATTTGTTCTTCAGCTGGAAGCTGGTTTGTTCTCTCCCACAGTAGAATATTACTGATGATATCCGACCAACAAACATTGAATATCTTGCGTATATAGTTGTTTATAAATACTTGTAATATTTTGATCATGGTTGTAATAGTTCTGCAAGTTTCGGCTCCGTATAGTAGAACTGTCTTGACATTCGTATTGGAGATTACGACTTTGATATTGATTGAAAGTTGTTTTGAGTTCTATATGTTATTCAATTGAAGAGATGTGGCCCTTGCTTTGCCAATTCTCGCATTTACGTCTGCATCTGAACCTCCTTATTGATCGATGATGCTTCCCAGGTATATGAAGGATTCTACATCTTCCAGAGTTTCTCCACCAAGTGTGATCGGGTCGGTGTTCTTCGCGTTGCATTTGAGGATCTTGCTTTTTCGTTTGTGCATGTTGAGGCCTACTGCTACATTAGCTACCTTCATCTGCATTTGTTCGTGTGTATGAGATAGGAGGGCTATGTCATCTGCGAAGTCCAAATCGTCTAATTGGTTCTGAGATGTCCATTGTATGTCGTGTTTTCCCTCAGATGTCGAGGTATTCATAATATAGTCAACCGCCAGTAAAAACGGAAGGGGGAGAGTATACAGCCTTATCTGACTTCTTGCTTGGAATGCATCTGTCAGCTATCCTTCGTGTACGACTTTGCACTGCAGTCCGTCGTATGAGTTCCGGATAATGCTGACAATCTTCTCAGGAACTCCATAGAGTTCTCCTATCTACACTGTCAAACGACTTATCATAGTCAATGAAGTTGATGTATAGTGACGAGTTTCACTTAACAATGATCCGTAGTGTGACAATTTGGTCTGTGCACGATTGATCCTTGCGGAATCTAGCCTGTTGATCTCGAAGTTAGGTGTCTAATGCGTCTTTTATCTGGTTCAGTAGCACTCTGATACTGAAATTAGTGTGATACCTCTGTAGTTTTCACATTTGTTCAAATCTCTTTTCTTTATAATCTTGATGAGGTGTCCTTCTTTCCAGTCCGACAATAATATCAATGAAAATAATTACACTTGAACTTTAAAAATAAAAAAAAATAAAAGACTGAACAAATTTGATTATCAGTTCAAAAACTTACTTCATTTGGTAACTGAGGTGTTGTAAATTTATCAAATAAAATTTTCATTAAATATACATAATGTTTAATAATTTTAAATTCTTGATCAGGATCTAATCCAACAACAGTTAATGTATTGTTTACATTTTCGTTGGTATTTTTAATTTCTACTTCTTTAATTGATTGTAATCGTTTAAGAGCAGTTGTATTACAATCTGAACGAAGATTAACTAATTCTGAAGGAGAAAAATGCCAATTACAAAATTGAGTACTAGTTACATAGGCCTGAAAACGTAGAGAGAAAACAGGAAACGAGAAGTTAGCCACTGTGATATTAAAATTAAAATTTCAAGTAAAAATTGTTCACTAAATCAAATAAATTGTCTTTACAGTAGAAAGTTACTTCATTGCCAGCTTATACAATCAGTCATATACAACACAGAACCTGGAACATGTGTATATCGCTAAAAGCCGACAGTCTATCTGCACAGAGAGATGGAATTATAGAGAAAAATCCCAGGGAAGAAGAGGTAGTGACAACATTAATGGTAATTGAAAAGACTGGGTATCTAAGATACGATTAGATAAAATATGGATTCGTGGTACTTAAAAAAAACAATCATAAGGTTATTCAAAATCTTGGAATTTGAGGGAATATAACTATTGAATGCATCTGTGCTATCGGGAAAATTCCGAATCATGTCACACAGTCTTTAACTATTGCTTACGATAATCACACAGACTCTAACCAGGTAGCCTGCAGCTGCCTACATAACTCAGTCAAATAATCAGTTTATTTATGAAATGATCACGGGCAGTAATCTTCCCGATTACTGCTTATACTCTTATTACCTCTACCACTACGGGATTTGAATCGACAACTGCATCTCTGTGCTAATGTGGTGTGGCAACTAGAACTGATGTACGTACGTACGAAGTTCTACGTTGTTACTGACTGACTGATCACGGGTTACGTAACAGTATACTGAATATAAAGACTGACTACAGAAACTCTTAACCTTTAGAATGAATACATTTTGCCGAAGAAACTACACTGAACAAGCACAAATGTGGAGAATTGTCTCCAGAATAAGTACAATAGCTGCATGGGGACTGTAAAGGAGGCTTGTAAAACTGAATTATAGAGTATTATTTAACATTTTACAACGAACTGACACAAGCCGAGTAAATATTCAAGTTAAGAATATTACTTTGCTTCAATGCATAGTATCTGAGAATGGGCATATAATGATCTAGAGGACACATGACCACTTCATCGTCAGCTCGGTAGTACACCTAATAATCACTAGCTAGTAGACGGACCTATACGGAGTTGCAGAGTTCGGACTTTGAGAAATCTTAAATTTACACTGATTGTGTAGCACAGGTATGTAGACAAAAAACGACTCGGTTTTTACAGTATAAAACTTTTACTTTTCCCCCATGTTTTCACCAAGTCAGTGTAAATATAACTCTCGATGGAGGTGCAATAGTGAAAACATTTATCTTACGCTTTAAATGTGTATTATTGACTACAATACATTAGTATTAGTAAAACGATTGTGATCATGAGGTATTTTAGAGGCTGTTGAATTTGAAAAAAAAACGAATCACAAACTGACTCAGGAAGAACTAAACAAATGCTAAGTGCTAGTAAGGGATTCTACATCAGTGAATATTCACGACCGCACCAGGGATCGAACTTGAGACCTTCAGACAAGCGTTTAACATTTAAATCACTGAGGTGACATCTAGCAGTCTATATTTATAACTTGAGACAGTTTTTGATATGTCTGTGCATTTGAACCAAAACTTTCCGATTCACATAATGATGAATTCGAAGGTGAATGAGACTTCTCTACATCTCTTCTGCCTTTACTACCCCAAGCAATATCACACTAGCATGAACTCCTTGACCATTCCAAACAACTCGTTACAAAAAGTAAGCGAAGACATAGGCCTCTGCAGGTTTTTTAAAATTATTTCACATATTGATGGTAAAACTTACATACGGTACCTACAAGCAATGGTTGCTGAATAGTTAAGTGTGTAGTAATTAGCTTATATGGGATCGCATAGTGAAACAATCACAATCGTATTTTCAAGGTTGAAGATTTTCCATTAAACAAGAGATTGAAACCACTGTACAGCTTTCTCAGTTGTTTTGAGGAAGTTATAGACGAGAGAACTAGATAGGAATGACAACACTGAACAATCCAAACACATCCATTATTTGGAAGCAATGTAAGATTGATTGCACACTCCTGTCATTCTTAGAGAAATTCCTAGGGTGTTTTCTCTTCGACAAGCGATTCCAGAGAATGGTACTATTTAATAGATTAAAAGCTGTCTATTTGATGAGAATTAGAAAATTTGAGGATCGAAACCTGAGGGAGTGGGAAGATCACTAACGTATGCGCAATATGAGTTCCTGCAGGTCCATTCATTGTTTTATAAAACAAAGTCAGCAATTATCACTAATTAGGTGTATTACGCAACCCCTGCTTGAAACTAGGAAAGAAAAAACTTCAGTGAAGTACGATGGTTTAGTCTAAATATAGACATTTTAGACAATCGACTTAGTTCCCTGATCAAAAGACTATCCCATCTTTGAAAAGAACGGAAAGTAGATCGCCTGGACTAAATGTCTTCTAATGTTGTAGTAATTTTATCATGATTATTGTGGTGACTACATACAGATCGTCTGTGTCTATCAAAACGGATCAGCCAAAAATGTAGTAGACTGATACTGTTTTGCTTTGAAAGCCACTACCTTTTTATCAACCAACTCCTGTATCAACCATCATTAATCATTAAGTTAGCTAGTGGATGGGTACAAGGAACACATAAGTTCCAGTCATGTCAGTCGATAGAGGTTTAAAAACTTATTATTGGATTTGTCATCTTTATCCAGTAACTTTAAACTAAGCTAGTTCAACACAAACCAGTTGAATATCACAGTCTCTGTTTAATAAACACAATGTTTAAGCTAAAACTTCAAGATATCAAAAATTCTCTACATAAGTTTAAGAAAATATCAAACATATTTGACAAAACTGTTTTCTATATAAAAAGAAAATATTAGGAAGAAAACATATGAATTTCATAACTCAACTTTATTAACTTCTTATTTTTACAAATCGAAAATAAAAAAAAGTTAGGACTCAGCATAGTCGTTAGATCATCAGTACATAAACAATTCCATATACATAGATAGCCGGTTACAACGCAGACTGATCCTGTTCCATTGGAGTAGGACCGGAATCGGAGATAGTTGGTGCATCCGCTTGAGTAGCTTCGAATAACTTCAAATATGGATCAATATCGTCATCTTCAAATATTGTGAATTTCATGTCTTTTCCAACTATAGCAAGTGAACAATTCTAAAACATCAAATAAAATATGAAAATTCATATTTTTACTGTAGTATATAAAATCATTAAATGTAATGCTACTGAAATTAAGACAGTTCATAAAACTATTAGACTTTCAATCATTGAGTTACAAGTTTCCATCACCATCCATCCACCACAGTTAATTACAGTAGTAGAATAAAACCATCAATTTTGGATATATGGGAGATTGACTGATTCTAACTACTCCAACGTAAATGATATTCGAGTTTCGGGACTCACATATAATTATGTAGAAGAGTTAAAGTATCAGTCAAAATATTATAGAGAATGTTTATATTTTGTCAATACAATTATTTTGTGAGTGAAAAATATTTACTAACAGATTAGAGGAAATCGACTACTATCTTAATAGTTGTATTGGTAGGACTGACTCATTACATTTTAGCCTGCACGCTCAATGAGACCCAAGTTTAAATATGCTGATGCATTGCTAACTAGTCAACCCTGGTGGAAAAGACCAAGTACTTGAAGCATCTTTAATTTTACACAAACCCTTATGCTTTTTTTCTCTGCACATTTTGTTTCGGTTTCATTTGGAATTGATTTTGTTCTAAACTCATTCTCGTTCGTAACCATATTATGTACAGTGAAATGAACTGGTTAAGGGGCGCTAGACAGTAAAGAACGTAGAAGAGGCGACGCACAAAGAAAAGCTGACATCGGTATTAAATGATTATTTGAATTCATCTCATAACAACAGTGGAAGAAATTGCATAATCATATGCGGTTAGTTGAGACACAGTATCTTAATATCATTTGTCTAGATTCACAAGCCATATCAACCTCCTACCTTGACGGTGTTCGTAGTGGCACTTTAGGGTTCATTTACAATCCTGTATGTGGACATATACTAAAGATTAGATATCAGTTATAAACGCTGAAGTCCTTCAGTGTAGTAGTGTTCGCGAATCGTTTTAAGTCACTTAGTGTTTGAACGTGAGTGACTTAGGTAGAAGTATATTCAGCAAATCTATCTCTGTGTAGTGTCTAGTACCATTTCAAGCCCATATGAGTTATTCTAGCTTTCGGACAAACCAATCTATTCATTCTTCTTGACTTACATTCTGACCTTGTTAATTATCCGCTTATTAACCTTGACTGTTATTAGATGGACGTATGTGAGGACATTACTCATCCTACTTACCACATATCAGTAACTTATTTTTGTCTGACTATAAATGTCGAGTCACGCTTGATCAAAACAAGTTGGCTCACTCGCCTTCGCTTCTGTCTGGATAGACGAATGCTTAAAATAAATCCCTCCAGCGCAACCCGTATTTGGCTTCTTATTACCACCGTCACACAAACGGGGTTAGCCTAGGTAATAAACAGAACTAAATGGGAGATTTATGTTCATAGTATATTCATACATCCATCTAAGTCGAAGTCAGATCAGCGGGCTACAAAGTGTTTACTAAAAACATCAGCAGTGAGGAATTTTGTATTTGGACTATAGGTATATCCGAACAATAAATAATTTAGGAATTTAAGCAGCGCGTAAGTATTTAAGAGATAATTTAGTGGAATCGGAAATGAATGGCTGACTGATGAAGGCCTAGAAACCACGCAATCAATCATGGTCAACGTAGAGCCAGGTACAAATGTGTTAGCAATCCTAGGAATACAAACCAGGCAGTGAATAACGTGATAAATTAAGTGCGTGTTAAAATGAAAACATATCAAGGTTTCATATAATGATCGACGTCTGTGATGAAGATGTTAAACCTCTAAATATAACGCTTTATGGTAAAACCAGTCTTTACATTTGCGTAGTACAGTATTATAACTCCGCCTGTAGCTCTTATAGGGTTGCTGCCGGTCCCAAGCCCGGGTAAACGAGGAGGGTTGGGCATGGGGTTAGCGTCCCCATCCCGTAGAAAACTAACTCGCTAAAAAAACGCTTACCAGAAAAAATAATCCAAACCATTTTAACTCTGCCCTGGGAGTTAGAAGGTCTTCATTTAGAAGAATTATGACGCTTCATGGTGAAAGCCGAGCTCCTTCGGAAGCCACAAGGCCGATGCCCCTTCTAACAACCAGAGCAAAAATTTTTATAGGTACATGGAACGTTCGAACAATGTGGGAAACCGGGAAGACCAGTCAAATATCAATGGAAATGAGGAGATACAACTTAGCAGTACTGGGAATCAGCGAAACCCACTGGACCCAAGCTGGACAGAAAAGGCTAGCTACGGGAGAGATGCTGCTATACTCCGGTCACGAAGAGGACAATGCTCCACACACTCAGGGAGTCGCTCTTATGCTGTCCAAAGTAGCACGAAATGCACTTGTAGGATGGGAATCTCACGGATCCAGAATCATCAAAGCATCATTCAAAACAAAGAAGGAGGGGATCTTAATGAATATTATCCAATGTTATGCACCCACTAATGATAGCAACGACGACATTAAAGATCAATTCTACGAGCGGCTGCAGTCAGTGATAGAGAAATGCCCAAGAAAGGACCTCACCATTCTAATGGGAGATCTAAATGCCAAAGTCGGAACCGACAACACCGGATATGAAGATATTATAGGACGACATGGACTGGGAGAAAGAAACGAAAATGGAGAAAGATTTGCAAATCTATGTGCATTCAACAAATTGGTCATAGGAGGCACAATATTTCCACACAAGCGTATACACAAGGCTACATGGATCTCACCGGACCACACTACAGAGAACCAAATAGATCATATTTGCATCAACAAAAAATTCCGAAGGACAATTGAAGATGTGAGAACCAGGAGAGGAGCTGACGTAGCTTCAGATCACCACCTAGTTGTAGCCAATTTGAAACTGAAGCTAAAAAAGAACTGGACAGGTGGACAAACAGCAATACAAAGGTTCAATACAGCCTTCCTTCGAGATACTGTCAAACTCAATGAATTCAAGATAGCTCTCAACAACAGGTTCCAAGCCTTACGAGATCTACTGAAAGAAGAAGAAACTACTATGGAGGACAACTGGAAAGGCATCAAGGAAGCATTAACTTCAACGTGTCAAGAGGTTCTCGGTCTAAAGAAATACCATCATAAGGAATGGATCTCTACAGAAACAGTGGACAAGATCAAAGAAAGGAAGAACAAGAAGGCAGCAATAAACAACAGCCGAACACTAGCAGAGAAAGTCCAAGCACAAGCTGAATACATAGAAGCAAACAAACAAGTGAAGAGGAGCATTAGAGCCGACAAGAAGAAATACGTGGAAGAACTAGCAACGACGGCAGAAAAAGCTGCTAGAGAAGGAAATATGAAACGGCTTTACGATACAACGAAGAAACTATCAGGGAAATACAGTAAACCAGAGAGGCCGGTCAAAGACAAAGAAGGCAAGCCAATCACCGAAATTCAACAACAACGTAACAGATGGGTAGAATACTTCGAGGAACTCCTGAATAGGCCGGCTCCAATGAATCCACCGGACATCGAAGCAGCACACATAGATCTTCCTATAGATGTCAATCCACCAACTACGGAAGAAATTAGAATGGCCGTCAGACAAATCAAGAACGGGAAAGCAGCAGGACCCGACAACATACCAGCTGAAGCACTGAAATCAGAAATCGAAACAACCACAAGCATGCTTTATCTTCTATTCAAAAAGATTTGGGAGGAGGAACAAGTGCCAATGGACTGGAAAGAAGGACACCTCGTCAAGATTCCAAAGAAAGGAGATCTGAGCAAATGTGAAAACTACAGAGGCATAACACTACTGTCAATACCAGGGAAAGTCTTCAACAGATTGTTGCTGAACCGGATGAAGGATGCAGTAGACGCCCAACTTCGAGATCAACAAGCTGGATTCCGTAAGGATCGGTCGTGCACAGACCAAATTGCAACACTACGGATCATCGTCGAACAATCAGTTGAGTGGAACTCATCACTATACATCAACTTCATTGATTATGAAAAGGCATTCGACAGTGTAGACAGGAGGACGTTATGGAAACTTCTTCGACACTACGGAATTCCTGAGAAGATTGTCAATATTATCCGGAACTCATACGACGGACTACAGTGCAAAGTAGTGCATGGAGGACAGCTGACAGATGCATTCCAAGTAAGGACCGGAGTCAGACAAGGCTGTTTACTCTCTCCCTTCCTCTTTCTTCTGGTGGTCGACTGGATTATGAAGACCTCAACATCTGAAGGAAAACACGGAATACAATGGACAGCTCAGAATCAATTAGACGATTTGGACTTCGCAGATGACCTAGCCCTCCTATCACGTACACACGAACAGATGCAGATGAAGACAGCCAGTGTAGCAGCAGTCTCTGCATCAGTAGGCCTCAGCATACACAAAGGGAAAACTAAGGTCCTCAAATTCAAAGCGGAAAACAGCAATCCAATCACTCTTGATGGCGAAACTCTGGAAGATGTAGAATCCTTCACATATCTGGGAAGCATCATCGATGAACAAGGAGGCTCAGATGCAGACGTAAAGGCGAGGATCGGCAAAGCAAGGGTCGCATTCCTACAATTGAATAACATATGGAACTCAAAACAACTTTCAACCAATATCAAAGTGAGAATCTTCAATACGAACGTCAAGGCAGTTCTACTGTATGGAGCTGAAACTTGGAGAACTACAACAACCACAATCAAGAAAGTACAAGTATTTATAAATAGCTGTCTTCGCAAGATACTCAACATCCATTGGCCGGATACCATCAGCAACAGCCTTCTGTGGGAGAGAACAAACCAACTTCCAGCTGAAGAAGAAATTAGGAAAAGACGATGGAAATGGATAGGACATACATTACGCAAATCGTCAAACTGCATCACGAGGCAAGCCCTAACTTGGAATCCTGAAGGGAAGCGAAAAAGAGGAAGGCCGAAGAACACATTGCGTCGGATAATAGAAGCAGATATGAAAAGAATGAATTACAACTGGACGGAGCTAGAAAGGATTGCCCAGGACAGGGTTGGATGGAGAACGCTGGTGAGCGGCCTATGCTCCTTCACGAGGAGTAACAGGCGTAAGTAAGTAAGTAAGTACAGTATTATATTTTCAGTGGAACTTTATGTATTAATTCATTCGGTCTGAAATTAGTTATTTGATTTTTAGTACTGTTTTATTGTATACATAAATTCACTGATTTTATGCTCAAGAGATGATTGCTCAGACGGTAAATTTGTAGTCGGTAATCAGACATTTGATCGATATGTAATTGAACTAACTTGGATGTAAATCAACTTTATTATGCTTCTCCTAAAAGATTTTTTTGAATAGCTGGGGTTAGGAGTGAAAGACGTATCTGGTATTGAAGATCGTCAATTTTACTCCTGTTCGACAGTACACAAAATCTGGGAAGCATCAAACAAATCAATTCATACAGTGGTGAAATATGTTGGACGATATTATTTCATGTAGATGGAAAACCTTTACAACATACTAGAATATTACTATAAATCATTGCTCCAACAATTGTTTATATACTACCATTGTCAGTCAGTCAGCTACAACGTAGGACCAGGCACATATATGCATCGGTCCAAGTTGCCAAACCTCATTAACACAACAAGATGGACACCGAATTCATAAAAGTAGTTAATTCAGAGGTGGTAATATATAAAGGGAAGATTGCGATAAGGATATGGTGCAGGAAGAAAGAATGAAGTGATTTTAATCTTTTAGTTTAAGGGAAGACAGAGAGTGCATACACCGACGCCATTGTGATCGATTCTGAGCCACGTCACCAAGAGTTTCCAACCATTGGTTACGATAGTCACGCGGACCGCAACCATTGACCTAGGAATTAGTGGAAAACAATGTCTAACTAGACTTCGACTAGCTTCAAGCCGATGAATCATGTAATGAGACTATAAAGTGTCATTTTCATTTTATTTGTGTGCGTGCTGTGATACTGCCCGGGTGCCCAGACCGAAATAGGCGGTTTCCTTAGGAGGCCACACCCCGAGCCTTTGACCTAAAGGCCTGACCCACAAGGCAGTGGAGCATCGTGAGGAAATGCAGTCCCATGGCAGCCGGTGACCAACGATTGGTCAGTGTATGACGTGGTGTCGGGATATGAAAGAAATCTGAAAAGGGCTGGCTTCTGTTAGTCTTTCACGACTCCTCGGCTGGGGTCCGAGAGATGGTGCTACACAGTGGCTAGAAACGTTATCAGATATGGCTCAGAATAGAAGTCAGTGGCGATCATGCTGTAACCTTCGTTTACTTTCTTCATAAAAAGTGGTTGTATCTTCCTTAACTGAAAGATTTCTTCTGATTGTAACATTCCGTCTACCCATTATTATCATTAAACTACCTTACACTAATTTAGTCGTTATCGTTCTTTTTTTCTCTTCCCATTTTCATTGCTTTGTGTGGCGCATATATATATGGTGCCCTCTTGTACCAATATTTATGTGTTCAAATAAATATACAATAAAATAAACTATAAAGTGTACCATTTTGCTTTTTTTTAATGGTCAATATACTAGTAAACTTGGCGATGAACGTCATAAAAATCTTCAGTGACCTGGCTCTTGGATTTAATAGCACACATGTCTTCCTCAAATGTATCCAAACTTGATAAATATAAGTAGATAGACTCATTTACTGGGCGCTTGGGTATGAATCATACTTTGTAGGAATCAATATACTAGCTAATTCCCGAAAATCAGGAAGACTGGGCTGAGTTTGATGTCAGAAAACATTCATGGGATCAGTTTTGATGAAAATAAACTCACCTTCATATTCAAACTAACTTCATTTGGCAACGTGCTGTTTAAAGCCTTCAATCCATGACAAATTAAATCGTCCAAAGATGAACCTTTAAATTCATCTAAATGTCGTTCCAAGTAAGTACGAGCTGATTGAGAGCGAGAACCAATGGCTATGCATTTGCAATCGTATGCGTTTGAGGATGGACACTTAAGAGAAAAAGGTTGTAAATCTGAAGCTATGATAAAATACCAACTGACTAAACCTCACATTAACTAAAACGTAAACTCAACTGTTTATATGACGCACGTATTAGGTGAGGGATGAATTATAGCGAACTCAAAAAGACAATGTTTAACCACACACCAACGACTTTTAAGCGAATCAGTAACACTATGACTAGAAGGACGTAAGTTGAAAACTTGGGTGGATAAATCTAGGCGGGTAGTATCATGAGCTCTGGTAAAAAGCATGAAGATGAGAATACTCTACCTGGAATAATTAAGGATAACGTTCTCATTTACGAAGATTTTCCAAATGGATTACCAATGGAGAATACCAACATCCTGGGACAAATTAAAGGTCCCTACGATTCAAATATTTTGAAAAAACATCTACGAATCCAAACTCCTAAAATTCCTCTTGAGAAAATCCGGGAAAAATTATTCGCGTTAATTATTTAGACTCTTCACCAGATAAAAAATCTAAAAACGAACATATTAACTAAAATACGTTCGACATATTAGGCTTTTAGAGAATACACGCTTGATACAGAATTCGCTTGTGTATGTTTACTGGTGAATATGTTGTGGGACGACATAAGCTGACATGAGTGATTACCACGTTGCATTCATATGTTTATACCATATTGCTAGTCTTCTAATGTATAACTTACCAGGTAGTAAACATGTGGTCCCAAGGCATCACAACCAGTGACTAGCATACCAACTCCGAAAGGTCGTCGACCATATCTCTGAGTAGGAACTTGCATCTTGAGAGCTATCTTAAATAGCAGACGTGAAATTGGTAATGGCTCATCGTAGGCCCATCTGCTATCTGCACACTCACGACGCATTGAACGACTAAGAAGTCGGCCATCAGCAGTTAAACCCGAGATCGCTACCCCAACATGATCATCTATTTGAATGATTTTTTCTTGGTAGGAAGAGAGCTCAGATGGTGCTCTCTTAAGGGCAACAATTATGGCGTAGTCATGATTCTTCAGGGCGACTGCTGCTGAACCCTGCTTTACAGCTTCCATAGCATATTCGATTTGATGAATTCGTCCTTGTGGACTCCATATTGAAACGTCGTGATCATACTGATTCCTAAACATTGCTGAATAAGGTCGGACGTCGTAGGCAACGCTTCAGGGGTATCGTCCACTGTTGGAGGTTGCGAGCACTTAAAGGTCAAACTGTCGCGAGATGATTGGTGCGTCACATCGACAATTCGTGAAAAGTTTCAGAAGCGGTCAAAACAAGACATTTTTAGATTTGAATTTAGTTCAGCCACACCATGTCTGATAACAACCTACGCGCGCTTTTCCAACGGGAAGTTTAGTCCTAACGTGATTTGCATATATCAAACTTTTGCTGTGTTCTTACGCAACAAAAGTACCATTCCAGTTCTAAAGAATCTATCCTGAGCTATACGTTCGGTAGATTACTTTTTTTGAGTTTCACTATATTTAATAGTTACCTGTGGTTTTGCCTCAGCTTACTATTCGGTTTTTTTGTTTTTCACGTATAGACTAGTTTCAGTTTATATCACTCGTTTTGTCCATTTTTGTTCGTTTTCAGTGTGCTTTTTAGTGTTTCTTTTTAAAAAGGTCTTAGGCTCTTGCAAGCATCTATAACATAGTTTGCTTCAACACCGTCATGAAAAACTCATGCAAACGTCCGGGATGCCGTTTTGCTGTTACAACTGGGATGCAGTGCGACAACTGCAAGGGTTGGTTCCACGAAGCATGCACAAATCTGACAGCAACTGCTTACAACAGACTCAGCAAGTCAGACCAAAAGTGGGTATGTGTCACGTGCAACACGGACGCAGTAGTCTTGCTGAGTAACATCATTGTCCTACTGACAGGTCTTCGGAACAAGTTGTCAGTTAACTTGGAATACGATAGTAAAAAAACCGATATACAAACAAGAGCGTGCAACGGACTCAAAAATAGGGATGTCGATAGGTATACCATCGATGGAGCATCCGTCAACACTAATGACGACGTGTCGAGGCTCAGTACCATCATTACGTCGACGGTACTAGACTCTCTAGGCAAACTCGGGTCTCCCAGCTCAGGGTCCCTGAACACAACAGTGGTTCCCAAAAACCCTGTAGGTGATTCGACCCACGTCAAGAGAGCCCAAAAGAACCAGGCATCACCGCCTAAGCCGAGCAACCCAAGTGTTGCTGCACGGAAAATAACTGGTGATTTGGTCGCACAGTCTACCCCGAAGACTGTTCGTCCGGTCAATAAAAGCCCAAGACTCGAAAACGCGCACTGACCTCCAAACAACAAGTTATCAAACCTGAACCCATCGTGAAACCTGGTAAATTAACAACAGTTCGTGACGATTCTCTCATTATCATGAACCTCGTCGACAATCCTGATCTTCCTCTCAGTCTGCAGGACAATAACGACAGGATGCTGTGGGGTGAATTGAACAAGAAGCTGGAACTCCCTAGAATAGAGCCTTTGACGGTCACCCGGCTCACTCGAGGAAAGGATTCTAAGCATCTAAATCACCCGAGGCTTCTCCGAGTAACACTTAAGAATGCTACCGACGTAGAGGACGTCTTACTAGCAAGTCACTTGCTGAAATCAGACGGTAACGTAAGAATATTGCCCGACATACCGTACTCTGAGCGCAATATCATACGAAACGTCCCTAAAGAATCTCGCGAGAAGTTTTTCCGCGGAAGAAACATAATTGTGCAAGGTATACCGGAAAATGCAGACCCTACTCAATCAAATTCTGACATCAGGGAATGGAAATTCATCAAACAGTCCTTGAGGCTCAAACACATACTGACTCAGCATGTGACGAGACTAGCCAAGAAGGACGGTGATCTTAGACCCCGTCTAATGAAGATAACCTTCCCATCTTCCCACATGGCGGCTGCAGTTCTGGAAGCATTTCGTGCTAATAGACGTCGATTGCCACCTGGAATCCACATGCACCCGGATAGGCCATATGAGGCTAGGATCAAGCACAAAGGCAAGTTGGAGCTGACCATTCCACTTGTGGACTGTCTAAATGATAAAAAAACGTGTAAAGGACAGGGCCCACCACCTCGGCAAACCTCATTTAGGTGGGCTACCTGTCCATTCACATAAGGTTCATACAGAAAAACAGGACGAAGCTCACGCGTTCCAAATTGAAAGCATAAACTGCTTATATATGAACGCCGCGAGTCTACCAAACAAACTGGATGAACTACGTGAACTTGGTAACGCTAATAAGGCCCGTCTGATAGGAATATCTGAAACCTGGATATCTTCTCAGTTCTCGGACCAAGAGTTAGCATTACCTGGGATGACTTTGTTCCGCAACGACAGGAAAACAGGAATTGGGGGCGGAGTAGCCATATACATAAGCTCTTACTTGGAGGTGCACCAAGTTCACAACCTCGAGTTTAACAATCTTGAGGAATCCATATGGTGCTCTGTTAGATTGTCAAGTACTTCGAGGTGTCTAGTCGGAGTCATTTACAGGAAGCCAACTGCCGACACCGAGTACGATAGTCGTATGCTGGAAGGACTATCCCGCTCTATCCGTCTCGGTTTCACACACATCCTGATTCTAGGGGACTTTAATCTCCCTAGAGTCAACTTCGCGGAACACACGTACCCTGGAGGCGACAACTCAACTGAAGCTCGGTTCTTCAACCTCATCGATAACTTGGGCTTATATGAAAATGTGAGGCCGGCAACTCGTTGGAGAAACAGTCAGACACCATCGCGCTTAGACTGTGTATTCACTAACGAAGAATTCCTAGTCGACAACCTCTCAATCCTGGCTCCTCTGGGAAAGAGCGATCATGCCGTCAAAGCCTTCAGTTTTGTCATCAAAACTAAGCTAAGGTATCCCAACAATAATTTGCGTTGGAATTTTAAATGGCTGAATGTGCCAGCTCTTCATGACTATCTGCAACAGGTGGTTTGGGATGTTCACCCTCAACTCGATGTGGATGGTCATTGGGACTTCTTACTGCACACGCTCTTATGTGCTACAGACCATTCAGTTCCTCAAACGGTTCCCAAAAGCTTCAAGCCACCTACAGTAATAAAGAACCGTACCCTTCGCCTGCTAAGCCGCAAAAGGCACTGTTGGGCGGAATACAAACGAACTAATAACGATGGAGCGTATAGGCAATATAAACATATCAGGAACATATGCACGAAGGCTATAAGAGAAGACAGGCTTCAGTACCAAACAAAGCTTATGGACAAATTCGCCTCTAACCCTAGAAGCCTATTCCATTATGCAGCCTCTCTTTGTCAAGCCAAGACAGGAGTTTCTCAACTGGTAGGTCTTAACGGCCCGACCAACAACGATGGCGACGCCACTAACCTTCTGGCGGCACATTACTCTCAAACATTTCAACCGGCTGACATCAACTTTATTGACGACAGTTTCATCTGCAATTCCTCAGGACTTTCTGAAGTGGACCTAAGCGCTGACTTGGTGTTCCGGAAACTGCAGCACTTAAGACTTGACACTTCTCCTGGCCCGGATATGGTTCATCCTACCATACTGAGGGAGGCAGCCTCAATCCTGGCAACGCCGCTTAGCGTGATGTTTTCACACTCGCTTAGCCGAGGCAAACTACCGGAAAATTGGAAGTTGGCTCACATCACACCAATTTTCAGAGGAGGTCGACGCAATGAACCTTCAAGTTATCGGCCGGTGGCTCTTCTGTCATTACCTTCAAAACTCATGGAGTCCCTGATATGCGACGGTTTAAACGACTGTCTACTGTCCTTAAATTTCTTCTCACCCCAAAAGCATGGTTTCAGGAAGGGTTACTCTTGTATAACCAACCTGCTGACTGCGGTGGACAGATGGACAAGCATCCTCGATTGCAAGGGAAAGGTTGATGTCATTTACCTTGATTTCTCAAAAGCTTTTGATAAGGTTAACCACTTGTGTCTTATCAATAAGCTCAAACAACTAGGTATCAAACCACCTCTAATCGATTGGCTTACTTCATACCTAAAAAATCGACACTTTAAGGTTAGGGTTAATTTCACTTTATCTCAAGCTATGGAATTTCCTAGTGGGGTCCCCCAGGGCTCAGTACTAGGGCCTCTTCTCTTCTTGATCTACATAAATGATCTTCCTCAACAGGTAACGTCAGACTTATTACTTTTTGCCGACGACGTGAAACTTTGGAGAGAGATACGCAACCAAGACGATATACAGGCACTTCAAGAGGATCTGACTCGACTTCAAAGTTGGGCAGACGATAACGGACTTACCTTTAACACTTCAAAGTGTAAAGTAGTCCATCTGCGACATGTCGCAAACTACAGTTACAACTTAGGAAACTCCTCTCTAGTAGTATCCCAAGTCGAAAAAGATTTAGGAGTCCTTGTGCCCCATGACTTAAAGTCTTACGCTAACTGTGACAAAAATGCCTTCCGAGCAAACCTTGCACTGGTAACGTTGAGGCGCATTTTTGGCCAGTTTGATGGAAGAACTTTCCATATAATCTTCAATAGTTTCATCCGTCCCCATTTAGAGTACGGAAACATAGTACTCCCCCCTCACTCCAAAAGGAAAAGGTCACTTTGGAGCCTATCAAACGGCCAGCCACGAAATCAGTTCGAGGACTCAAATCTAAACCTTACGAAGAACGCCTCCATTCACTAGACCTTTACCCATTAGAGTATAGGCGTCTTAGAGGTGATTTATTAATGGCTTATAGTATTCTTAACACTTCTGGACATCCTCTTAAACACCTACTTAAGCTTAGTTCGAATAATAACCTAAGAAGTAACCCCCAGAAACTGGAAACACAACATAGCAAGACGGAATGTAGACACAACTTCTACTCCTTAAGAGTTGTCAAAAGCTGGAATTCGCTGCCGGCCGAGCTAGTCCAAGCGACTTCTCAGGAGTCCTTCAGGAGGCAACTTGACCTATTCTTAAGGACCAAGGACAGCATCACACTATGATTTACCAATTTCCTTTCCTCTTTTTATTGTTAACATACCTAGGTTCCTGCTTGGAGTGCTTGGTGATCCCCTGCTACTAGACACGGAAGCCTGTTAAGCGAAAGCTTCTTCTATTCCGTCCACAACCATTTGAACCATTTGAACGTTCA